TGTTGGGGTCCCACGCTGTCCTGTACATAAAGTTATACTAGACGGCGGTGGGAGTTCTTAATTGTCAGTGCCATTTAGCTTTCTGTGCAAAAATGTCTGCTCGGAGATTCTGAGCAAAACAGATGCCAAGAATCTAAAAAAAATGCAGTATATACCAAAACAAAAATTTACTGGAAAAACCGCATGCAACATAAATTGAATACATGCAACCGAAACAAGCTTGCCTGTGGAAAAATGTACATGGATATTTTTTTCCAATAACTCTATGCAAACTGAAAAACTCAATGCAATTGTACATATAAAGCTTAAGAACTTGAATGCAAAAAAATTTCAAAACTACATATTTCGCTTACTTTCTCCTATTACATAAACAGATATACAAACAGTTAGCAAACTAAAAACACTTACTTGAAAAAACAATAACAAAAAGCCGTAGGAAGCCAAAGAAATCATGTTTTTTTCGGTCCATTCCTCGACAGCCTCCAAACAGCCCTGCTCGTATATGATTTTGGATACATCGAAAGCCTGAAATACGTGTAAAGCACACAAAAGCTACTAAAGGTTGCAACAAACAGGCAACTTAAACTAACGTTACATGAAAACACTGAACCATTTTTTGGTGTGGTTGGTTTGGTGGTTGCAGTTGATTGAATTGAAACAAACGACATTGTAAAAACGTAATTTACACAAATAAGAGACTTTTTCAAGACAGAAATTATAGTAACGTAAATGAAAAATAATAGAAGACTGTTTAAAAGAGCGTGCACATTCAGTGAATACGCAAAATACGTTGATTTGTACCTGTAGGATTATAATTCCTACTTTAACTGCCGCAACTGGCACCAAATTAATTTCTATCCATTCTTCACCGGCTCGCAAGCAACCTCTTTGAAATATCTGATTTTCCTCTCCTGGCTGCATTTAAAATGGAAGGTACAGAAATATTTTGAGTTCAATCAATAAAATTTAACTTGAATTTTTAACACATTCTTGCAAAAAATAAAAGGTTGCCACCACGCAATTATCATAAAACATTCAAATTTAGTTTCGCTAAGCCCTCAAATACATTCGAGTCAGAAATATTCTCTATAAGATATGTGGAGTTCAAATCAAGACTTTTTTGAGAAAATAACAGAATTTGATGCAGTATAACGAATTTAAGCTTCTAATGAAACTAAAGACAAAAATGTGGTACTTACAAATCCGGGTTTTCTCACATCATATCCACACTGCTTGTTCTTGATAATTTCCTGAAAAAATGCGCAATTCTTATTAAGCCCATATTTTCAACTTTATATTTCAACTCTCGATGTAAGTAGAAAATCAAGAAACAAAAAGAGACCGTGGTTTTTCATCAAAACTTCATTGTTCTTCATAACAAAAATTATTTTTCTCCCTTTAGAATTTTTAATTCGATGTTGATAGAAGCATCACATAATTTCCAAAAATAAAATTTGATTTGCAAAGATAATATCGAGCATCATCTACATTAAAAAACATATCAAAAGCTCTTACATTCGGTTTCCTCTTGCAACAGGAAAATGGCACTCCACAAGCTTCTCTGCTACCCACCACTTTAGATGAACAATTAAAATAATTGTTCCGATCCCAATCTTTCGGTCCTTCAATACCGCAGCATTGCAACTGAAGATATTAAAACCACCAATTAATAACAATATAAGTAAACATTAGAAAGAACTGACCCAATCTTCTTGGATCCAATCAATTAAATTCTGTTGATCTGGATCTTCCCTGTAGTGAATGATGAAAGTTTGAAACCCAATAGTTGCTTGGGATTTTATCTGGAAATTAATTAAAATTTACAATATTCCTGAAAATAATTCTTCGAAGAAACTTGGTCCCAATTTTTATAAAAAAGTCGACTTCCCAGAACAGGTCATAGTCAATAAATGACTACATACCGCACAAGCCGATTAATTCGTGGAAATGCCAATCAATGACCTAATTTGACTGAATTGTTTCTGTGAAGGGGAAATTTCTGTGCATGCTTACCCAATCTTTAAACACAAAAACTAATGTAGCGGCAGTTACTTCAAACAGAAGCAATACTGATAGAAAAATGGCATACTAAAACATAGAAAATAAATTAATGCAATTTATAAAAGATCTCATTATCCACACTTACAGTTGCCAGCAAGCAAGTGTTTTCCCTAAGGGCACCAACACACCCTGTAAATCCTATTACAAAAGTTACAGTACCTGAAACAAATATATTTTTGGATAGGAATATCGGAGGAATAACATATGCGCTAATAAAACAATTAATAAATAATCTGTAAAAAATTAGGAAACTCACCAACACAAATTAATATAAATGCTGGATCAAGGGCAACATTAGCCACTTTTCCTAAATTGTTAAAAATGTCTTTCTCAGACCATGCCCAAACTCCGACTGTTAAAATTGATAGGCCCATAAGCTGAAAATTAAACACATAAAGTTATTTTCATGAAAAAAACTCATTAAACGTAGTTAAATAATTTTAAATTTGTCTCAACTGTGCAAAAGTATCGACTGGACGAGAACAAAGTACCTTTAGAGTTTGGAGTATTACAGTCGTATAAAATACCCAATCAAAGAAAAAGGAATAAAATGAGGACAAAAACTAGCACTGCAAACATATACCTACAGTTAAAAATTAGACAACGCAATTGCAACCACCCAATTGCACCACAGAACATGTTTTGTTGCCAGCAAAAATATCACTAAACTGTTCCAAAAGGTTTGTGCAATAATAATAAATTAAATTTTTGAACAGCACCCTGCGAACTAAAAACTAAGCGCTTTTAAATATGGCTTTTTAAGGAAATGAATCGAGTTTTACGAGTAAATCTAATTGGAGCAAGGGTGCATCTTTGACTTTCTGACTTACCAAACAACCCTGTATTATTCAGTTCAAAGAATTGCGACTAACTCTATGAACCAACTTGTATGAATTGATGTTAATATAAAAATAATACTATTTATCAAGTGACGATACGTCCCAAATGTTGCTTCCATGTGGGTGTAAAAATGAAAAATGTCTACGTTTACATATTTTTAATAAGTATATTTTATGAGTTTTAAACTGATTTTTGGTATGTCCCATTGCATCTCCAATAGCTATTACCTGCAGCACATAGACAAAAATATCAGGACAATCCGTAAGAGCAAACACCTGTGGTATTTTAGTACAATGGTACATATTGATTGAGCTTGAATATAAGCATTGAAGAATTGTACAGGAATGTTAAACTTGGACTGATTTTTGTTATGTCCGATAAACAAGGGAGTAAACAACCGAAACTAGGACATGAAAACTTACCCAAAATAAGACATTGAAACCGAAGATCATGTACTTTAAACAACTGCTCACTTCTGTTGACTCTCTTCGAACCTTCCTTACTGTCGGCATGTTTGCAACAGCAACAGTCATACCTTGAATTCGAGTAAATTGCTTTGTGTATATTCACTAAATTCCAGGTATCCCAAACTGGATGGATTTCTTCATGTTTCCGCCTGCCCTTGGATTAAGATTTTAGCGAACACTCATCAGCATCGGTGCTAAACAATTTAATTTCAAGTTAGCCTTGAAACCCACATTTACAATGATTCGTTACTAATATTATTTACCTTATATATTTTTTTATTTGAGAAAGTTACAAAAGAAAAAATTAGCAATGTTTTGATATACAGCCAGAGACAAGTAGTCTCTGACACAGCTGAGTATGGCATTTGCCACTGTAAACTGTCACAAACGGTTAGCTGCCTGTCAGTGTTCCACACTATAGGTCGAAGAGGGTGGCTCTAGTAGCTCATGCAAGTGACGTCACCGATAGTCAATAAAGGGGGCAAACATAAATATAACAGTGCCGCTTTTTCGAGAAAAGTGTAAGTGTAATTTTTTATCTCTGTTCCTATCAAAACCATGTTAAAATTTCAGCGTTCTGGAACTAATTTCAGCATAACGTAGTAACATATAAGTGCATATCCCTTCCAAAAATAACTTCTCAAAAGCGAAATAACAAGAAATTTTTGAAAATTTTAGCACTGAATAACTGAAAACGAGTCTTTCGGCGTAGAAAAGGCGGAAATATTTTCACCAACTTGTACACATTAAGATCGTACACGGCCATTATTTTATCGTAGTTTGGGTTTCTTTCTATTTAGTAGATTAAGTACGGCGCATTGGAGATCAAGATATTTTGATTTTGGAACTTTAAAAAATGGGTGAATTTTTAATTTCTTATTTTGTTCCTTTGATTTAATCGAATTTTTGGCGTTCTACTACCAATTTTCTAAAATCCCCCAACTCCAAAGTACTAAACCAGGAGCCTCTGCTATACTATACCGACATTTCAAGAGCAATAAAATTAAGTTTGAAATACAAACTTTTCAAATTAGAAAACACAACCGATTTTCAAAAAGTTTCCTTACAAAAAGGAACCAGAAGAAACCATCTGAAGGTGTGAGCGTGAGGTGTTTGATGGCTACAAAAGTATTTGGTAGAAGCAAACGCATCAACACGGAAAAACAATCACCCTGTGTATTCTTACAATTCAAATAAAAACTGAAAATAAATTAATATCAATATTAAAAATTACTCTAAATTGAAGCAAAGTGAAATAAAAAACTGAAACCCAGGAAAATAGTTTATATTATGAGAATATCGTCTTAAGATATAATACAATGCTGTGTATAAATAAATACTTAACATTAATACAATTGGCATAGATACTGATCCTATTAGGTAACATTGTCTAATACTTTTACTCGTTATGTATAGTGTAGAAAATAATAATACTTCACATATAATTAAGTTAAATTACTACTGACCTGCAGGTAGAGTGCGTATTTTATAAGCTGTCAATCGATAATGTCTAAGTAATTTTGTAGAATATAAATCTAAGTACTGAAAAGTAGTTCCAAATACTAGCCGGAGTATTAATTTAAAAAAAAAACTAATCGGTTTTAAATCTGAAAAACCTTTATAAACGAAAAGTTTAGCCTTTAATATGAGTATTACAGTCGAGCGTTTAATTAAGAGCGTACCTACTTACTTTACTTAAATAAGTTATTTGTTCCAAAGTTATGGGCACGTCTGTTCTCTATATCCTAGTAGATGCTTATATATAAAAAAATACAATATAAAAATGTTTACACTAAACATTTGCATCTGCAAAATTATAACCGTCATCTCGTAGAGGTTGCTTATTCAAAAAATGTAATATTTACAAAATTGCGAGTTTTATTACTCCTACAAAAAAGTGAGACTTACGCTATACGTTTTGGGAGAATTTAAATATAAACTACGAATAAAAAGTAAGGACAGACTGTTGATTTCCTCTGGCTAGAAGAAAAGGGGGCATGTCTTTGGTGAGTACTTCTAGCCAAGACATGTATAAAGGAGCGGAAATATTTCCTTTTCTTGGCATTGGAAGGGACCTAATAAAAAATAGGAAATAGTAAAGCCGCAAATTTATGGTAAAATATTCACAAAGAATAGCATTGAATCGAGAAAAAAATTATTAATTAGAACCAAATACATTTTAAGCGTTTGAAGAAGATCGTAGCTCTACAGAAGGTGCTCAGAATAAAGTTTGAATGGTGAAAAAAATATCATAAAAAGTAAAACTTACATAACAATTAAGTTAGCATCAGCTGAGTTTTCCATCAGCAGTTCCCTAAGCCGAAGTTGTCGATAAGTTTTGTCTTGATATGCTTTCAGTTCTGCATCCGTAATTTGACAATCTATAAAAAAAAAATTATTGAAATCAATAAATTTAGTTCAACGTGACATTTGTTTGAATATTCACCATCTGCTTCGTTAGTTTCACTCTTGAAGGCATCAGTAATACTGTTGAAAAATTCAATAGTTTCATTTCGAGGCGTTTCACTGATTGAAACCATTTTGAGAACGGTGTAGTTGAGTCGAAATTTAGACAGTAGATGGGCCATACTGTAAAGAATAGTCTCAATGTATGCAATTATATGGAAATTTTGAGGATATAGAGTGTTTTCAAAGCTTCAAAGTTAACAAAACTAGAAAGCGGACGGCGCTAAGGGAATTCAGAATAAAACTTATAACAGCGGATGATATTGGATTTATAACTCAAGGGTTTAACAAAATATGTAATGCATGCAAAATTAAAAAAACACAAGACCATATCATCCGGATATCTGATTGCAGTTGTTGACTCCCCATTTAAGTACTTTGATGCCAAGGTGTCCATTTATTCCGTCGAATCACACTTTGGCATCAAGGTAAATGAAGAGCCATTAACTACAATCAGAAATGCGGATGATACAGTGATCCTAGCAAACGCAATCGAGCGCCAACATACAATACGCACTAATGATTTTTCTTACTTTCGTTCTTCCAATGCAATATCGTTTTTATTGCTCGTCAAACCAAACACCCGTAATTTACAGTTTGACCAATCCTGTCTGGTAGATACGATATATGGGAGAAGCATGGTCAATCCTCCATCATCATACAGCCACCAAACATCAATAAATCTAAAAATATTCAAGCTGTTAAATATCAGAACTTATGTAAAGTCTCTATGAATGAAATTACCCTTTTCCTTGCTTGCGTTTGAAGATATTCATATTCTCGACCCGAAATAGTTCTTCGTTGGATAAGGTTTCCAGAATGTTTTGTTTAGCAAGATCTGATTTATTCTTTCTTACTTTCTTGTCCAATGTACAATCTGGAAATCGCGCTTTAACTAAAAGGAAAAGCATAAAAATTGAAGCTTTTACCAGTACTTTCTTTGGGTGTCTGGATCTGCAAAGAATCAGATTTCTTGGAAGCTGGTTCCGCACTCTCATTGGTAGCTGCAACACCTACGCCAGTTAAACTCAAATTTGAGTCCGAATGCATCATTAGCGCACTAGATAGAGACGTTCTTAAACCACTAACTGTAACTTTTGTACTATATGCTGAACTATCAGAAGAGCTTCCTTCGGAACTTTCTGTGAGAATGCTATAGTCAAAACTGCCCTTTACTCTTAGAATGGCCAGGGATAAATGATGATCAAAAGCCGCGCTAAAACATTCAAAACTTTGTAAATTAATTGAAAATAATTAGCCAGCGGCACTCACTGGAGTACGTTGAAATAAGCGAGAAGCTCTTCATGTGGGCATTTAGCCCAGTTTGATTTGTAGCCCATCAAAAGGACGTTGGGAGTGAGTTTTCCAATTCCAGCCGTTTGCAATAATGCTGTAGCTCCGGTTTCAAAACTCGTATCATCAATGGCAGTGTAAAAACCTTTGATCTTGTTGCTTTTTAAGAAAGTGTAGACGTCTGATGATCGCTGGGATTTGGATTTGTGGTCCAACTTGCCCTAAATATGCATCAAAGTCTAGTTTTAATAAAAAAAATTCGATCGATTTCAACGTACCTCTACAATATCTCCAATGATCAACAAAGAATGATTCTTAGTGATTAAGTTTGCAAAATCCAAAAGCGAGGGTCGATGTTTAGGTAAACCACAAAGTACCAGAACTTGTGGTTTATAGTTTTTCACGTGCTCGCCCACATTTATTAATTTTTGGGCCGTGGCAAGGGCTGTTTTATATGTTTGAGCCTGTGTCGATGAACCCCAGTTAACATCTAAAAATACGGAAAAAGCACTAATTTTGCTATATTAAAAACTGTGTTTTTTATTTGTTTATGTGAATAACGAAAAACCTGAGTTCGGTTGCAAGACATTTTTGCTTCTAATCGATTTTTTGAAAGCGCTGTTATTGATTAAACTTACATGATACTTTTTTTCCAACAAATAGATTTAAAATATTTGTTTTATATCCTTGGAGTTTAAAAATACTTATAACTTTGGTTAAAGTTATCCAATGATCCTCTATAATTTTAGTTTTTTTATTTTTTCAAAATTATTTTGGTATAGAATATATTTGTTAATAATAATTTTCTAAGTTGAAACTGAATTGAAACGAAAATATTCGATGATTTGTTAAATTGTAATTTTCTCCATTTAATAATAAAGATAATCAAAAACTTTAATTGACTATTTTTTATATTTTGGTAAATATTGTTTACCTTTCTATAACTCAGAAATATCCCCTGAATCATCGATGATATAATAAAAACTTGTTTGCGTCACAAAAAAATGTGGTTGGAGAATAATTAATAGTAAATATTTAAATATTTTTTCCAATTGGAAATAACAAACGAATGGTTCAGGTTGACAAATAAATTAAACAGTACTAAAAGATGTACGATATTTTCAAATCGAGAGCCTTATAGTAAAACTAAATCCGAAGTTTATTTTCCAGAAACGGAATAAAAATACGTAAAACATAAGCAATTTTCGCAGTTGAAAGAATAGAAAGATAATTTTTGTGCCTTTTTATTTAAAAAAGCATCCCATTCATTTTAATTTAGACGTTGTTAAGAGCCCTCGAATCTGAATAAAAATTATGCATTAAATGGTAGGTTTAAGAGAGATAAAGCGTACCAGCTTTGTAAGAAACAGCCACAAAAATTCAAAATATTTGATAGCATTAAACGAAAGCTAATAAGGTTGAAAATAAATAGTTTACCTACCGGGTTTCCTGTAGACCACAACCAAATACAGTCCGAGAATAACGATAAAAGTGATCAAGGAGGTTTTCCAATTGATCAGGAACATTATCACAACGCAGGCGATGAATCCAAATAAACTCAACCAAGTGTTATAATACTGCAAAATAAATTATGTTTATAACTGACCACTACACACATATTTTTGGAAAAATCAGACCAGGTCTAATCTGTTTAGATTTGAGCTAGTTGATTACCTTAAATGTTGGCCTCCATCCCAAAGGCTTAATCAAGCCAGCATGAAAAGTGCAAAAATTGATCAACGCATACGAAGCCAAGTAAAAGTTGGAAATCAACGGAGCGATAGCGTTTAATTCTCCTACATAATAGCATTATAAACAATGGGAAACATTCTTTGGGAGAGATAAATAATCTTACCAATTAACAAAAACGCTTCTGATACCAAAAACGTCAAAATATAGCCTCGATATGGTTCACCAGCTTTTCCATACCCTTTTGAAAAATATATCAAGCCTGGATAGATCTGGTCTATTCCCAACGCTTGAATTAATCTTGGAACTGATAAGAGATTTGTGAGAGCTGTACTCAAACACGCCGCCCAACACCCTGCGTAAATCAAAGGCCACCAAGCAGACATTAAGGTCATCATCTGGAAAAAATGCGAAAATTCTACGTCTTTTAAGAGGAAGTAAAAAAACCAGCACGCGAAACCGTAACTGTTTGAACATTTCAAACATGTATATTGTCCAGTAGAATAATGCGCACGTGAAAATCTGAGTTGAAAAATTAAACTTAAAATTTGAGCCTCAAAGAAACGCAAATCATACTGGAAATTTAGTTTTTCAAAATATCCTATTTTGATATTGCAAAGCAACTCAAAATAAAAGCTTCAAATTTTAATAAAAAAAAATACGATCGACGGCATCGATTTTGTACTGATGGAAAAAATTGTGAGTTGAAAAACTGAAACTTTTAAGAATTAAGGCTCAAAGTAACGCAAATCATATTGCACATTCTGCCAATGTGCTGCCACTTACCTGATAACTGTTAAATAGTCCATACTTGCAAGACAAATCACTAGTGCAACTGGTAAGATTTCCGCTTACCAAATCGGTCACATTACCAGTGGCATCACGCATTGCCGCTCCTCCAGCAAAGAACATGAACAAAGCATATGAAAGCATTGTGATAAGAAGTGACAATAAAGTGCCTTTTGGTATTGAAGAAGCCGGATCCTGAAAATTGCGGCTTTTTGTTTAATACTAATGATATTTTGCTGAATACCTTTAAATCTCCAGAAATATTTGCCCCAGCTTGAATTCCAGTCACCGATGGAAAAAATATAGCAAAAACGGCAAAAAAGCTGTATTCCTGTCCTTCAGATACCCGATATTCTGGATACCAGTTCGTTTCCCATACAGTCGCTGACAATTAAAGCTGTTTGTTAACTATTGAAAAAATTCGCAGTTTACCAACTTACAATTGAATCCAGTAAATCCCTGAGCTCTTTGCAGATCATTAACTGGCCCCATAATCGTTCCGATTATAAAGTCTACCATGGCTCCAACGATAATCGCTATTAGGAAGTTTTGAGCTTTACTTTCCCATTCCATTCCAATTGCGCATATCGCTATCATAACAATTGTAGCCACAGTTCCTGGAAATTGAGAAGAAGAAAAATTATCAAATTCGTTTCTTTTCGAGTTTCACAAAGTGGAGATTTTAGCGTGAGAAATAATTTGTTGGGTTGCTCATTGGCCGTTTTTGTGTAACACAAAAGATCGTTAAATAATTTACCAGTTGAAGCAAGAAAAAATGGGATCAATAACCAATTCAAACCAGGGCTAAATAATAATTAAAAAATAATTTAATAAATCACTTTAACTGTTTTAAATCGTTGTTCCTCGTTTCTTACCAATGACTCTGGCATCGTTAATTCCTCCATCAAAAATTTTGTATCCGTATAAATTAAGTAGATCGCTCAGAGAGTTACAGAATCCAATAGTGTTCATTGAAGCTGAAACGGCATTTGCAAACGCAAACACTATTCCAACCGACGCCCCGAATTCTGGACCAAGCGATCGGGATATTATGTAGTAAATTCCACCTAAAATTAACAAAAAATATATTAAAATCAGCTTGAGTTCTAAAATTATAATTCTCTCTTTTACAGAAACTACTTGATTTACCTGAAAACATTATGTCAAAGCCAGCTAAACACGTGCTTATGGTCTTACGAATAGAAATTACTAAAGATAAAAACCACACGTAAATGCGTCAGTAAACATGAATATTTTTGAAATGGAAAGAGTGCATGAAATGCATGCTGAATATTTTCTTGGAAGTCGCATATTTTTCACAGTTTATTCATATGGGAGTCGGAAAGTGACAAGATAGATTATCGGGTTTGGACAATTTTCGTATCGGCTGATTAATTTTGCAAGTTCAAAAGCAAAACGATTTTCTTTGAGTTTGGTAAACGCCATAAATTACTTTATTTTTGACGACATCATGCATCTGAAATATAAATATCCAATATCCTGAACCGATTTATCTGTTAACAAGATGTTTATCACATTGAGAGACATCCAATTTAGGACACTGGACGATATGCACAATTTTCCAATCACGATCGTTTCCAGTTTACATTGTCGTTTATAGAAAATGATTCAGATTTATGGAACATATTTACTCACCTCCTTTTACTTCACCATTTGTACATATCGCTGAGAGCGACAGAGTTGTAATGACGCATACTACAGCTGATACTAAGATGATAACAAGCGAAAGAGCTGAAAAATAGTATTAATTAAAGTATAATTATACGGTATATAACAATTCTGATATGTTAATATTCGAGTTTCGTATTCCGCTTATTATCTACCCCAGAGAGATTTCAAAGAAAATTGAAATGTGCCGGATTATTTTTTCTTTCGAGTTTCATTGAATAGGGAATTTAAAATAATATTGCATGGAAATTTTATGTTCGGCACTCTCGGGGATGTTTGCTTGTGTTGACGAATGTTTCCGTATTTTCTTTTTGTATTTTTTTCATTTGCACGATATCCCCCCGTGTACTCACTATTACTTTTGTATTTTTTTCCTCTACAAATCAATGTTCCTGTTTAATCTTATGTACCTATAGAGATTCCAAAAATCGATATTCCCTAAATCTATCAAAGTAATGTAATTGTAAGGTGGGCCTTAGTGTACATTTTGCGGAAAATTTAACAAAATCGAAATGTCACAGAAAATCGAACTCTTTAAATGCTCGAAGTGCTTAAAATACACAAAAAGACGCGGACACGACAAATATTTAAATCTTTCTTAGCTTTTATAGTTTTGAATCACTTTTGATTATTTTTTCGGACTACTGTGGACATTTTCATGGTACATTTCGGCAAAAGTTTGAAGTGGTTTGTCATTATACAGGGTAAAACCTACAGTTGTTTTTTGTAAATTTTTGAATACCCAGAGGAAGAAAATAAATGCGTTATGCTATATATCTGCATGCGATTGTTCAGCTATCAAGCTCTTAAGCAAGCATAAGCTTGCTTAAGATTTCCTTCCTGGATTTTTGACAATACATCAACTCTAAGAGGAGTTTCAAAGTTTTTAAAAAAATTATAAAATTTAACAATAAAAGTGAATTACATCGTTTGATAACTTTTTAGGCAACAAAAAACTCTTAGTTTTTCCCTGTGTAATGACAAACTACTTCAAACTTTTGACTAAATTAATTTTGGTTAATAATTGAAATGAAAATCCATAGAATAGAACACAAAAATGATCAAAATCGATTCGTAACTAAAAAAACTATTATAGTAATATTTAGATTGAATTATATTCATCCGTGTCCGGTTATTTTGTGTGTATCGTTTATTATTTTCATTTCTGTTATTGACTATTTTTATCTAGTTTTATTCTAATTTAACTTCCATGTTCCAAAGCTTTTCGCTTATATGAAGAATTAATTTAAAACCAGATCAGCACTAAAATGTTTCTATAATGAAGTACTATATTCGACTGAATGAGAAAACTCGTTAAAGATAAACGAACTATACATTCCAATTTCAGTTAAGAAATTCAATGAATTATAAGAGCAAGAACACCTAGTTTTATAATCGGAGTTACAAGATGAATCAGGAGGAAATTAAAATATTTTAAGATTATGCATATCTGGGAAGTCGCAGTAAGCAAACTAAGCAAAAATGTTCAAGTTCGATATTTGTTTGTTGCATGTAATTGTAAATGTACGGTAAGTGTGTAGAAACTTTAATATATTTTGAAAATGTCTCATAAATTTACTCATAATGAATAAGCAGATATGATGTTTGTTTATGGTTTCTACAATTGCAGTACTTTTTCTCATCGAAGAGCTTCTAAGAGACAAACGGTTTTAGAAGACGTTACAAACGTGAAAAACTATTCTAGATTTTATAGGCAATATTCCGGATATAAGTACGAAACGTATTGCAATCCAATTTAAAATTCCACACACAATATTTTAAAGAATACTACAACAACAAAATTTACTGGCTTTTCATGTGCAACAAGTACAAAATCTCCAAGACGGCGATTTGCCATCAAAATTACAACTTTGTCAATAGATTCGTTGAAACAGACGATTTCATAAATGTATTTTATTTACGACTGAAACTCAGTTTACTCGACATGGAATTAACAATTGTCACAATAATCATCGATGCGCGAAGGAAAATGCTCAAGCTACGGAAGAACACAATTTCCCACGTCGGTTTAGTGTTAACGGATGAAGTGGCATTTTAAATGATTATTTACAAAGTCCTTTCTATGAATTAAAGTACGCTTTATGGGCATTTTAAAGCAATATATAGAAGAAATATGGGACAGAGTCCGACAATGCAACACCTCCTCATTTTTCAAATAAGATTATACATTTTCTGACTACAATTCGGGGATAATTGGATTGGCAGAGCTGGAATAGGTACATTCGTGGCCACTGAGATCGCCCGAGCGAGAATAAAGTTGATTTTTTCGCAAATTTGCGATAAATAAATGCTGCTTGTTCATAGTAACTTGTCTTATTTTGTTTTTGATTTTATAATATTTTTTGTGTTAAAAACATTTTGTGTGTGTGCGAAAATTACTTTGTATAATTTTAATTTAATTTTAATTGGAAATCGCGAACTAAAGCCAAAATGAAACGACTCTCCTAAAAAAATTCCGAAGGCTGATTTTTATTTTAATCGCCAAAAAATGCCTATGTTATTACAAATGTCGCCCCCCCAATACTATAATTCTTCTTAGCGAAACATAATTTCGACTTTCCTTTCGCAAACTGTATGCAGAATAATAGAAATAAATAAATAATCAGTATTTTTGTGCATCTACCCTGAGACGTTTTTCGTCTGTCTACTGTTCATCAGCAAATTCAATTCTATCGACATAGGATTGATATCAATATAAAAAAAATTATTACTAAAAATGTTCTGGCGTTTGACAGAATTCATAAAAGTAATCCCATTTTATCATTGCCATTCGTTTAATACTAACAATTGATTTTTATACCGTCGGAATTTAGTACCACTTTAATCTTCATCTTTACTAGCAGGTGCGGATTTTTTTCTTAAGGTATGGTTTGACCTGTTTAATAAGAGAAGAGTGATTCGTAGTCTTAACCAGTTCAATCCACTTTCAAACCCACTTTTATCAAATCTACCTTTATAGCATATTGAATTCAATTAAATTCGTTCATATGAATAGACTGTGCATTAAAAGTCCTAACAGTATTCAAATGTGATTTTTTTATGATCTCTCAGACTAACACTGTTACGTCCTATTGTTTAATCAGTTATCCATCTCTTCCTTTTCATTGGTAGCTTTTGTCATTAATTTTTCAAACTAAGGGTAATTCTAATTACAAAATCCGTCTAAATATATTGTCTAGTAATAGGTATAAAACCACATACAATTTTAATACGAATTTTCGGTGCACCGCTGAACTTTCCTGTTTATAAGATAATAATAAATACAACCAGATTGGGTTTCGGTTGGTATGAACTGGACCAATCTGGTTGAGAGCCGAGTGTTTGGTATAGGTATATACCCATCGACTCACCCACTTATATGCTAAGCAATACGAAGGTAAATAATTTTCATAGGCAGACGGAATAAGTGATTATTTGGATTATGATATTTTATCATATCTTGCACATCGTTAAAATTGCTGAATAAATAGTGAAATTTGATTAAATTTACCACATTTTTAATAAATGTACGTAGATGTATGCACTCAACAAACCAATAAATAATATAAGGGACTGAATATTCTTTTAGTAAATTATTTTTTCAGGCTACTCTTGTACTATTAATTTTTAATTTGCACTAAAAGAAAAATAATAAAAATTGTTACCTGTTCCTGCTTCTGCAACCACCCAGGAGAGTCTGAGAAAGAGCATGACCCCGAAAATATTGAGCATGCACGGGATGAGAACCCCTTGGATCCATCCAAATTTAACCCCTTCATGAGTAGGATTGAGTTGATCTTTGGCTTCAGCATTATCACTAAATTTGTCCTGAAAAATACATTGCCACACACAAATACATCAGAAGATGGTCAAAAGTACTTTGAATAAATTGAAATTTGTAAATTATTTCCTCCATTAAGCTTAATCTGGTAATTGATGCGATGAGAAGACCCGCAGTTTTGGATATTTTTGGAGAAATCATTTCATGAAATTAATGAATACTCCTTAACAGATTTAGTTCAATTTTATTTTGATGTTTTAATTGTTAACACCTATTATTTCCATCAAGAATATCTAAAACGTTTAATTGACATATTTGATTTCTTTCAATTGAATTTCATATTTTTATTTTATTTATTATTCATATTTTCAAATAGCTCCAATGTAATTAAAAAAGGTGTTGTGCTGAAGAACAGTTGAAAGAAAAACATATTAAAAAATAATTTTCAAATGATGTTTATTCATTTCATAAAAGTAAAACCTACAATAAAACTGCCCTGACAAAACGAAGTCTGTCTCTTAAGAATTATCTTCCCTTATTCAATTTATTCCTTTTATTCAATTAAATCAAGAAATTTACGATTTAAAATGGCAGAAATTTGTTTGGGTACATTTAAAAAGCAAATTATAATTTTCTAGGTCTAAATTACTTGAGCAGTGGCAATTATCTCTAAGGTCTAACTTTTACGTTTAAATTTAATTGGCTGCAAATGAAAACTTTATATAAATTAGTTCTTTTCTAGTTGCAATTTTCTCAATTTATTCGATACTCAGTATTAATCTCTTAGAATCTCTCAGAATTAATCCTTTTGAGCTTTTTCCATTAATATTCTAAATTCAAATTATTTGAGCTAAAGTTTATCTGAACAAATGCAAACCTCCTACTTTACTGTTAAACAAGATTTTAGGAACGTTAAGGTACGTACTTTTTTCTCAGAGATTTCTGTGTGGTAAAATACTTCAAAGCCGAGGGAATGTAAAAAATCCCGTATTTCTTTTGTATCTTATTCTCCTAAAACCTTGTGTATACCGTGTACTAATATAAAAATAATAAATTTTTTAAATTAAATTTTCTTATCCACTGTTCGGTTACCGGATTCGGGACCGGATTGATGCTCGTTTTTCTTCGCTTGATTTTCTAGAAATGCATATATTTTGACCTTTTTTATGTTCAAATAATGTCTAAATATGAAGTTTTTAATATTCCAGAAAATTCAAAATTTGCCAAACGCCTTAAAATTAGAGCAAACTAAAAAAGGTGGACTACTCGGTATGTGGTAAAATTGTTCTTCAATTCACTTTTAAATTGTGTTTACTTAAATTTGATTTTTCAAATTGACGAAAAAATTGCTAAATAGTAGCATTTGAATCGAACAGCAAAATTTTGGTAAACGGTTAAAATTATTTAACATGCATGATAATCGATTTAGTTTTTTAATAGTTTTGTGTACGAAAACAAATTCAAATGGTTCTTTTTACTCATATCCAAAGCCAAAACTTCTTGCTACGTAAATAGTTTCCACAACCCATAAATATGCGACTATATAAAAGTGAAATGGAAACCAAACGAAATAGCAGGTTTGTTCATTATTTAATTATTGCATATTAATGAGCATTTTTACCTTATTGTAATCGTCAGGACCGTGTAATTCCCCCAACGATGGTCGCTTAACCGCTCGTTTGGAATTCCGGTAATTTTCCAACCTTGGCAGTACCTCCTTGGTTATTTGCACTATGCTTTTCCTTCGTCTTTTATCAATGGAATTTTCAACACTGACCCGATGTTTAAACGTCCCATTTCCATTAAGCGACCCATTTTCTTGCATCATGAATCCACCGTTTTCATAGAACTGCGGCGTTTTCAGTTGATTTTCCATTTTGAGTCAATGTAGTCCTAATGGGATTAGCGCCCCAAGTTGTCCATCCAATGAATTCACAAGTCTAATTTACAAAAAAAAAATCGTTTAGCCGGTTTGTTCATGATCACTAGAATTTTTGAAATGTTTTTCAAAAACCATCTTGAGTGCAACATAAAGCACCTTTACCGGTGCAAATTCACTTCTTCAGGCAAAAAATGAATCACTATTAGAAAATTTGTTGAAATTGCCTCATTTAGATACAATTTAACTAACAATCCATTGTTAATTTCTAGCATTGTTAATTGTGTTACAGTGATTGTGGCGACAAAGCCATTCATTGTGCACATGGTTTATTAGATGTTTTTCATTAAACTGTTTCAAATTTTTGCATTTTTATTAAGGCAATTTAGTTTATTGCTTAAGCTCGTGTGCTTAACGAATTGAAACGCCAGACAATTCTGGTGTAAATTATTATTATGTTACACGTACGAATCGTCTCTTGAATGCAGCTACAAATTTTAAATTCAATTTTGGAGAATCATTAACTTTTCTAGTGAAATTTTAATTGACTGAATCATTGGGAAGTTTTATTAATTTTTCTTCCCTACGTGTGGATGAGGTTTTTTGAGTGGTTAAGCAATGGAAGTTTTCTCTCTCGCGATGATTGAAAATAACATTTTGATTGAGCCATTTATCTGCTGCAATAATATTTTTATTAATTTCGATTACTGGAATTTTTCCAGAACATTTCGGCTAATCACGGTTAGTCCTTATGCCTAATACTTGAAAATGACCCTTGAGAATGTAATTTTCTTTATTCCTTATATTTTTTTGGCAAACACAGAAAATATAATAACTTTTTGACCAATTATAACAGTTAAAAAGTTAATGTATTCGTTTATTGTGGATGGCTAGTAAACTTAGCTAACTAAAACCCGGAATTTTAGGCGATGTTTCTTATATATTCTATATCACTTTCTATATATAATTACTTAAAAGTGTGCGCTAAACATAAACAAAGTTAGTCAAAAGACAAAAAATGATTAATTAATCTGCGAACAACATTAAATTAAATTTTCTTTACATTCAGAAAACAAAAAGCTTAGCTAGCGATGCTCAATAAAAATGTTAATGCATAAAAATATGAATTTTTGAAGTTCAGTCAAGATCTTGTTTCAAAAAGTGTCGTCGAATTACCCAATGTATGCGTGACTAACCCAAACTAACCCAAACGTGGCATCTGGCACAAATTTGCTATAAATTAGTAGCGCAAAAAAATTGTTATCTAACTCCTTTTCTAAAAACTCCTTTGTTTACATTTCCAGATGCAGCCTTTAGAACTAAATTAATGTTCACAGGTTAATATAATAATAATAATAATATAATAGTGGTTTCTAAGCAAAAACTAATATATTTTTGGACAACTCTCGTTAAATGAAAACTGCAAAAAGTACAAGAATTATAAAATAGTACAACAACTTCTAGACGAATATTAACTTCCCGGCCTAGAGTTTCTGAAATTTGAATCACTAAAAGCTAAAAGCATGAAATTTGGCGTTGGGGGAAAACACGAAAGTGGATTTTGTGGCGACCGATAGTCGCTCATTTTTGTTTTTTGTCTCAGCCTTCGTGGGGAGACAAAGACAAGCTCACAAAGTCACAAAATAAAAAAATGTGCGGACATTTTGAACCATCTCTTATGTAGCTTTGTAAACCAAAAATTATAGTAATTAATGCATTATTTCAGCTGGTTTGAGTTTAATAAATTTGAGTAGCTTCTACCAATCAGCTACTTTCCATTAATTCGACTTTTGCAGATTAGAGCGGTTCATATTCGGAATATCAAATTCCAGTCCTCCCTGCTCATACGATGTAGCCACTCAAATTAGTGCCTGTAATTTGCATAAATTCAAACATGATCCTGAATAGAAACTAATTAGGCAACTTCAACTTCTAATTGGCTTTTTAGCTTCAAACCGAGCACAAACTCATATTAATGTTCATGTCGAGGCAGTTTACCACGTGCTCTAATTTTCGCAAGTGTCCCGAATACGAAATCAAATTTTATTTAACAAGTGCACATCAAGGTGGAATGTAATTCATGTTTACCTTCGTTTGGTTCTTTTCTAGCAGATTGCAACTATTAATTGCACTTTACCAAGCTCAAGTAGGGGAAGCAGTTATACAGTGCGAATCGCGAATCTCCAACTTGAATAATTCAATGAACCAAAGTCAGGGTTCTTTTTGGAAATATGCTTGGACATGGCGACTAGTATTGAAGGCAAGAATGTAAAATGAAGTTAATAATTTAGCTGCTTCAAGGTTGCAGAATAGTTTCGAAAAAATGGTCATTTAGAGAAAAATAATCAGCGTCAAAGTGCTCCACTGAAGATATCCAAATTTACAAACTTTCTTCTGTTCATGAACATCATCTTCCCACAAGGTACATTTCTGGGTAACCCGAAACAATCCAACCTTCAAAAGCGAGAATTCTTAAAACCGGGAGTGTTGTCCTTATCAAAACACAAACCCTCAACAACTAACTGAAAATGATCAGGAAAAAAGACTCCGATTTTGCGAATAATTGATAAACATACTGGACGGAAATGTTCTAAATATAGCAAACGTTCCATTTTCTATGAAATTGTGGTTATTATCGTATAGTCAAACTGTCGTTATTGGGCAGAGAAAAGTCCACAATGGATGAGGGAAGGCCGCATTCAAAATTCAGAAAATATGTTTGGGCAGGAATTTTTGGTGATCGACTAAAGGAGCGATTTTTTATAAAGAAAATGTCAAGTAGGAGTGGGATATTTAAAATTGTTGCAGGCAGACGCAAATTTGAATATTCCGTTTGCTGATCCGTATGAAGCGAAGTCCTAAATAGTTTAAATAAGACTGTTCATTTTGCAAGATTTGCCATTGTGTATCTAGATGATGTATTTCCAAGCAAATAAATTGATAGAAGACCCGTTAATGGCCTCCTACGTCTCCGTATTTAACACCTATGGACAATTTCATATTAGAGTATTTGAAACACGAAGTTTTTAACATCAAACCAGAAAACATTGAGAAGTTGTAATGACTAATACGGCAAATGTTTGGTAATGCAAGGTAATTTCTGCAGAACTCATTATAAATGTTTTCCATCATCATCATTATTATGATACATACATTTTGAACATTTATTGAGCTAACATCACTAAATTAGCTTTCTTAATTTTTCAAATCAGTATTTAGTTTTTGATATGCAATATATTTCATAATTTAAAATTAATATTTGTTACGTATCTATTAAACCACATAAAATATCAATTATATATTTAATACTCATGTCAATGCAAGTTAGAGACTCGCCCTATATGTTGGTACTATGGAAGAGTTCAAATGATGTATAAAAAAGCACATTGTTGTTAAACTTACTAACTGTTTAAAAAGGAAACTTTTATCCAAATCCAATATCTGAAAGAGTTTGCCTTGACCATTCTCCTTAATTATTATTTTTAAACAACAACGTATTTACTTTTAAAACGCCTCTTGTCTTATTAAAAATTATGTTCTTTTCTACTTTTTGGCAAACAGCATTTTTTTTCTTTTCGACAAGCACAATAAAATTTAATTCGGGTTTTCCAGGTTTGATTCGTAAACAAGTCGGCCCTAAAGCAGCTTGAAATAACACGAATTATATAAAGTAAACAAAGCTCATAAAAGAAAGCTGCCAGCCAGTGCACTGAAAGTAATTTTTAATGCGAAATCAGTTTATAGGACATTAAAAAGTAAATAACGTTATTAAAATTAAAGGCAGTTGTATATTTTGATTTTGTTCACTTCATTGCGCAAAGCGAGCGCTTTATTTGCTGACTTAATTTTGAATTTATTCCATATTTAATTGCTTATGTGAGGGTTTTTAATTTAATGGTTTAAGTGGCCCTAACTAATCAGTAATATATTTCAATACAATACAGTGTCCCCTTAATATGAAATTGCGTCTAAAAGTGTATTTAATTTAATTTAGTGTGTATATAAACCGGCAAAAAATAATAATGCCGATTATTCTTAATTTTAAGTTTGCAGAATGTCTCAAATAAGATCAAAACACTTCCGACATCACCTTTATTTTTTCTATTTAACTGTTCTTTTATGAAACCCGTAGTTTTGTTTACTTACTAGCAACTTATTTTTAGCATCGTATATTGCGTATTTTATTTAAAAAGTTTATATTAAAATAAAATTAATTTTAGTAATAATTATCATTCCAATAAAATATTTACTAGCATCAGTGCTGCATAAAATAAAAGAATGCAGTATATATAAATTCACTTTAAACAGAGACAAAAATTATATCAGTATCCTTTTGGAAACTTGGTCATTAATAACATATTTTAGTGCACCCGTTTATGTGGCCTTGAGGGATTTCTTTTTTGAAGAGAATTACATTATTTTTTTAAATGATTTGGTCAACAAACACAAATAGGGCAATTTTGCACTTGGTCACTTTCAGCTTCAAAGCCAGGATATTTAAAAATTAAGTACTACTTTAAACGATATTTAATTGAAGCTATCAAATCTCCGGAATCTGTATTAGCTGAGTTAATTATGCTGAAATGTCATCATACGTAATTTAATTACATTTTTTGTAAGAATAACCTTGTGTATGAACCGAATAAATCTAGATTTGTACAGATTTTTAATAGATGGTTTTCAATAGATTAGATAGAATACCATATTTTGGTAGATCTGATTGGTGCCTTTGGTTTTACAAACTAGTGAAATTTGTACACAAATTAACCCCGATTTTCCGATATATCATTGAGTAAAAAGAACATCATATAACAATCATAGATACAAATTTCTTATTATTTCATATGACGTTAACTATTTCATAACGTAAATATGAAAAGGAACATCAATGTTATGGAAAATTTGGGCAAATTATTAATATTTTGACTGCTTTTCTGTGTTCAAATGCATTTTGACTCGGACAATATCATTTTGCAAACGTGTTTTGAAAAAAATGCAATAAATTCGCAAAAAATCTTGTACAAATTTAATATTATTATATCAATGCGACTTCAAGCATTTGTTTTAAGAATAAAAGAGATTTTATTATATCTCGATTTAATTAATTAATTGTGATTCTTTGCAAAAACTATTCTAGTAAGTTTTTGAGTCTAATTGTAAGCAAACAATAGGCACTCACCTAAAACCACTAGAACTGAATAAAGCATGCACAAAAGTTCCTCAAAACTCACTTTAACAAAAAAGTTATCACACCAGTATAACAGTCAACTAAATAAACTTGTTTAAAATGTATAGCAAGTTTTCAGCGTTTGAGCAAAACAGACTTGAAGCTTGAAACTTTGACGATGAGCTTTCACGGTCAGCTCGTGCAGTATGCGAAGCAAAAATTATTTGCGATGCGAAACAGTTTCAGTTTTGTCGAAGACATGATCGAAACCGACGCCAGTAGGGTTGGGAGAGGGTAGATAGAAGCGGAAGTCGAGGACGCCCCTAAGTTGCCTCGTAGAACGAGCGTCTATCGGCGTAAACAGAATATCGAATTAGTGGTAGTTAAAAAACGTCTTGCCATTGGATAGTGTATGAATAACAACCACTTTATTTACCAACCAAACGAAAATACGTCATTTTAAGAGGCAAAATCAAAATTTTCTGCAGTTAAGATGTGATTTCTTGATAGTTGTTCTATTCCTTCAAACGCCGGCTCCAATAAAGCTTTTTTGTAAAGGATTTTGAGAAACGCTATAAAAGAACACAAAATTTCTTGAGGCCTTGAACTATAAGTTTATTACTTTCAAAAACTTCGTGAATGGTAAATCTTCAGGAGCAAGATTGAACACTAAGAGTCCATAATGGCAAAACTACATTTTTTTCAAAATATACTTGAATGGACTAATTTTGTTCTTTGCACAGTTTAAGGCTTCAATCGAGTTCTTTCTGCAAACTCTCATTCATTATCTTTGGTATCGAATAGAAAATTGCCAAATAACAACCACACATAATTTATTAAAAGTGTACCATTGAAAATAAGCACCAAAATTTAAGTTAAGCAAACATTTCTACTAAAAGAGCGAGGTCAAGATTTACGAAACAAGTGGATTTATAGGCAAATGCATTTATCAGCTATGTCACACACGCAAGTACAGTTTTTGAATTTTAACTTATGTTACTTATTGTATTTTATTTAATTTGTCGTCAATGACCACTACATTAATCCGTATTTTAAGTCGACCGTAAGCTTACTTTTTTGATTTCGAAAGCATTCGACCGATTAAACATATGGCTATTCAAAAAGTACAAAAACCTTCTAATTTGTTATCAATAATAATTAACAAAGATGTTATCTAGATTTTTTACCTAAAAAAATATTCATAGTTGATAAAGTCGTTATAATTTAAATAAAAATGACTTTGTATAATTACACATTCAGCTAACTGCTGATGAGACTAAACGTGTGGTGAAAAAATCTGATCTTATATCTATTTCCTATCTATCTATAGTGGAAATAGTTTCACTACTAATGCTGTTTTACTACAAGATAATTTTTTATAAATCTAATGTTTGCTTATTTTGTTATTAGTAAGTTAAACTCACTTAATAGTGAGTAATCTTTTTGGGGGTTTATGTAACTATTTTCTATTAAATTAGTAAAATATTAAAGAAACTCAAGTAGGTTAAAATGTTTACTTTATATTATTATTCAACTAATTTATACAATTTAATAAAAATTATACAAGATTATCCAGTAGATAATGGAATTAAAGAAATACACTTTAACTTTAGCGTTTTAATTTGCACATATCATTTTTTTTTCAATTAATCAAATCAGTCAAGAAAATTGATACTTTCGAGAAACCCACTCTCAGTTATTATCAAATACTTTTCTACTTTTTAACACAAATACATTAAAAACATGTTTACCTCTAGTGAAACCTGTATTTTATTTCTACAGTATAGAACAGCAGAGCAGCAGCAAAATTTAACGAAGTTAACCTGATTTTGTTTTTCGTGGATAGTACAGAAAATCTAATTTTTTTCTGTTTTTATTTTACTATGCTTTTATAACATTAATAAGAAACATTTTATGGACGGAAAGGAAAATTCGATGCATTGCGCATATATAGAGTTTCTTATTATTTTTTAAATAGAGCAAATATTTTATTTCTTCTAAAATTCCTGTTTAATCCTCTTAAAGATGGATTTTCAAAAATTGTGTTTTCGAAGCACTTTATTTTCCTTTGGGTATTAAGGCATTAATTAACAACCACCGCTTGAGGAATTAGACATTCTCAAGACACGAGCCAACCTCAATAGGCTGAGCGCAATGTTTTCTCATAAGTTTAATAAGCGTTAATAAGGACTTGAATAAATGAAATTGAAGACGCACATTGTTGCTGCATTATGGAAATGTAGCGATGCATACATATGACTTGATTCTACCAGTTTCAGCTAGTACCATTTAAAAGAATTAACAACAATTAATTAATTAATTATAAGACCATAGATGACCGTTAGGTTTGGTTTTAAACATGATAGAAATCTGAACTCAATCAAGCTTGAATATATAGTTAATTTCTTCGAAGATTCCAAATCAAAAATTTAGAATTTTTTGAATTGATTAACGCACATATTTGTTAAAACATTTGTACCGCTAGTTTTTGTTAAGCTGAAATTCATCTCATGAAGATTCTAAAGGCTTAATAAAAAAGGAAATCTGAAATATATTAATAATCGTACTTACTAGGTATAATCGTACTTACTATTATTAGGTGGTCATAGTATTTAATAATTAATATAAATGTATACATTTATGTACTAGACGCCCATTAGGGGCCAATTGGCAGGGAAATGTTTTCTTAAACTTTTGAAAATAACTGAAATTGAAATTCTATCTTAAGTATCTTAAGTACGGTATTCTGCACTAACCCAAAAAAATGCACAACACAATTGCACTTTTTCCACTGATTTGATGAAAAACAAACTAATTCGCTTTCAAGCAAATTCAACAACCGCGGAACAAATGTTTCAGCACTGAGAAAGGAAAACGGTCTTAAATAGTTTGCGATTGTCGAACGATTCTCACTTAAACTGAATAGATTTGGTGATAAGCAGATAAATGTATGTGATTGAAATTCAATTGGAGAGTGTTAAGGATGGAGATGGATATTGTTATTGCATATCAACCAATGAGCATATCAAAATCTATTTAATTAAAGTGATATTATGTGTTGTATCGATTATGCGGAAGTTTTTCATTGTCGGTCTTCTACCTGTAAGTGTCCGATCGTGTTTTTTAATAGCTGGAATTATAAAACCAGATTCAACATTTTGCAGAAGTTTGGTGGTTTTATTATAGTTTGCGTTTCTGCTTCTTTTACACCTTTCTGGAAAAAGGTATGGAATTTAGCAGCAGGATTGCATGCATTCAGTACCTTATTTAGAAATCTTAAAGGTTTTTTTAAGACAGCAAGAATTTCTTTGTAGTTAGGAAAAGCATTTTAAAAGTTTATTGTGACATTTTCTTCATAGTTTAGTGATCTGTTTCAAGCTTAAAACCAAAAAACAGTTAAAATCTTCATTTTTGCTTTAATGAACGAATAATAATTCAAGACTCATTTACTGGTTTATCATTCCGGTTCTTAACTTGGCTAAAAATGGTAATGGGAAAAAACATTTAGAAGGCACAATTTATCAACTTTTTCGAGAATTTTATTCGCAACTCCAACCTTAATTCAAGCAAGAAAATTCTGACTTCACATCCATTCTTTCTAACAAAGCATTAATTAATAGTCTTAATTGGTCGCTATTAAATTGTATCATTCGAGAATATGGCGAAGAAGTGTGAACTTGGACGTATTAATTTTCGTGGGTACAAAACGACTATTAAAAAATTTGCTTTTAAGCATTTGCTCAGTAAGAAAATGTTTAGTTTGTTCGTGATTTCAGCCCAGTCTTTAATAAAATGCTTTCAATTTGTTTTTATTATATAATTTGTCCGTACCATTGAAATATGTTTGGAGAAAACTTTACTACCTGGATATTAATTTGCTCTAATAAACATAACTATGAAAAATGCTTGAAAATGTTAAATTATAAGTTTTAATGTCGTCCAAAGTAATTTCTGCTGCATAATTAACGTATGTTTGCCTTGACAATTTTTTTCTTGACCATGCTTAGATGTACTAACTGTTTAACAAAATATTATTTTCACTAAAAAACTGTTGATTGCTACGTTTTTTGTTCCTACAGCTGAAGTGTTTTAGCAATATAATTAGTTTTAATATGGAGAAACGAATGCACCCATAACAATCAGAAAGTGTTTTCCCAACCCCCCGTGCTTATGCCATTATTTTCGTTCCAGTCAGATACTTTTCATATGATTTTTCCTGCAATTGTAAATAGTATTAAATCTACTTAATGTTGTTTAGTGGACAATTTGTCATAGTTTAATTAACGGTATCACAAAAAATAGTACAATGGGTCAATTAGAGAAACGTTAGTGATAAGCTATCATCAACGCAAGATTTGCACAAGTGTTGCAAGTTAAATGCCTATTACTGTTGATAATTTGGTATTATCTGAATATTTTCGTTCTGAAGTATGTCTATAATTACCTACCAAGTTTTAATTTATGTGCTATTCAAATGTATGGTTAACCGTCCTTAGGTATCTTTAATGCTCCTCATTCAATAGTAAAGTAGATATAAATTCCAAGTACTTTAAATTTGTATTACGTAGGTAATTTTCGATTTAATGGTTTTTTCGAGTTGAATGCTTCTAATGCTTAGGCATCCAGTTTTCCACTTTAGGTGCTTTTTTCAAACATAAAAATCATAAGAGAAAAAATATAGTAATTTCTTATGTGGTGTATTCTTTGTTATTGCAGTATTTTTCTCTGCATCTACTTTTCTGAATGTAATCCTCTTCGCTGCTCAAGTAATCCCAGTCTCGGAATTACTTAGTTTTGATTGTTGCGTTGTCGATATTCGTTTAAAACATTTATTTCAGTTGAAAATCACCTTATTCGCACCGCGATAAGTGCATTTATTTTACAGCTTGCGGTATATAATTACTAGTTTATGTATTTTTTCGTTAAAGTGGAATATCATTCAGGACACGCGAACATCGGACAAACCGATGCTAAACCTACATACACTATTTAACCTGAATCAGGAATATTTAATCAACCAACTTTGAAGATTTCCACTGAAACAGGGTGAATTATCACTCCAATAATCATGTACTAATATTTGTCAAGTCAATATGTTTCAAGCTAGTCTTCTCTCTACCAAAATGCCCGCTATTTTTTCTCTTGGCTGTTTTCGCACTACATTTGCTTGCCAAATCCTTTTCACTTCATTCCCTTTATCCATTCTGCAAATGTTTCCAAATAAACATGTCTTTCTTGTGCTTTAATTTCTCATTCAATTCCTTCTTTTGATTCAATTTAGGTAGATACTTTTCTCAGATCTGTGATCTTCACTGTCTGAATTTAACTCTAAAATGCATTCCACCTCGCGCTACTATTTAGGAGTACCGATCGAAACATCGTCTCTAAAGCATTCATTTTTTGTTTGGAACCACTAATTGCAAAATAATACACTTTAGATGATGTGCCAGTATTTTCCTTTATTTTTGAATTTTTCCAATGCTCTTGTTCCACCTGTTCGAGCTGCACCTCGTCTACACCTGTTTTTAGGATTTCCTATATTTATGTTCATGTTTCTTGACATTAACACTTTACTCCATACGACTAAATTATGTTTAAGCTCTATTTCGTTTTTAACAAACCACTTACAAATTTTTGTACCTCACTTGTATTTGACCGACTTTTGTCTTCGCCTCGTTTAAGTTGCCTTAAACTTTAATTCGTCATAATATCATCGGATTATTTATGTCGCTTTATCGCTTTTTCACTACCTTTTTTGTTTTTTATATGCTTTCTTAACTTCACTTCTAATACAGCTCTTTTCTGTTGCAAAGGTCTCAATATTAATTGTTTTGGGAGACTGTCAAAGGATTAACTGGTATCTGCAAACTTTAGATTTACTTCTTGATTATACATAAGTTCCTTTTCTGCTCTATTTTAATGAGGACAAATGAATTTGTGCACTCTTTTTGTTCAAAGTTATTCTGCAATTCCGCCAAGTGTTTCTCTAGTATTTCCCTATTCTTCTGTTTAAAATTATGTCGAGTAACTTTATTAATACTAGACTGAGTAATGTTTTTCAACTATGATTATATCTACGTCCCACTCTCTTTGTATAATATTTTCTCTTTATCTGCTTTTGTACAGTTCAGTTTGCATATTTTGTATCATCACATTTTAATATTATTTCCCTCTTTTCAGCATTTGCACAATTCTCTTACTTCCTTCATTGCTATCCCTTCGTTAAAATTTCCTGGCTCTTCTCCATATTTTTTGTTTCCTCGTTCGTATCATTCTTCTCCTTCGAAAAAATATGGAGAAGAGCCAGGAAATTATAACGAAGGGATAACAATGGAAA